GACCAGCACTCATCTTAGGTGGGATAGACGGCCACAAAGCAAGACCTAAAGGATCAGTGAAGGTGTAAGAACTCCCTAGATATGCACACTCTAGCAGCTGCAAGCCTCCTGAGGTTGTTCATAAACTAATATTAAGACGTAGGCAGGTGTCTGGTAAGGTTATGAAAGTTGATGGGGATGGGTGGTCACCACCACGATATTAACAGTGGACATCTGTTAGTATATTTGCCCGTACAATATGCCTGTTTTCGAAGGTTGCACATGCGGAGGTGAGGGAAGTGAAGAGTGATAAGCAGTCTTGACAACCTTTTTCGATCGCGAATTTAAAGGTTTTTGACCTCAACTCCAAATTCCGAATGGAGTGAGGGGACAATTGAAACGGTAGTGATATATCCAGGAAACCATCAGGCATTAAGTAAGAATAAGGATTCGGATGCATTATTTCGTAAAGATTCTGGTAAGCGTCATGGAAGGAGATTTTGGCTGGTGCATCATCGTCCGAAGACGGAGGAGCCTGATTTCGAAAAATGAGGTATTCTCTTTACCTTCCCAAATGTGGTTGTAAAGGTGTGCACCATTTTCACGGAAACTGGGTCCCGAGTGGTGCCAAAAACAAAATAAATAACAGGCAACAGACCATTTTAGGGTTAATGGTTATTTATAATGGAATGAGATCTCATGAAGAATGCGTTTGATAGTGATGTTGGGATTCATCAGCATGATAAATTATGGCAGTAGTTGCAAGGATATTCTACTACTTCAGTTCTCCATGCATACATTTTCCTGGAAACAGTGCAGAACATCTGGCTGCATCTGTTTCAGTGGCTGTCAGATAGACAACACCTATACACAACATATACTCTGATCCATTTCATAGGTAAGAACAGTTTGATCGAACGTGGGTAGTAATATGTGACTGAGCTAACATTAAGATTTCCGCAGAACTTATGTTTAAATGTGGTGAATATTTAAGACTTAACAATTTTTTCGGTCTTCTGCTTTGCTTCGTTGAAGTCGGCCATATAGGTGATAAGTCAATCCGTTCTCTCCTATTTGTTGCATTCGATGTGGTTAAAATATGCACGGTCTCAGAGCTCAGCTTTACTTTATATGAATGTAAGCCTATTTCTACATGAGAGAAAAAATTAGATTCTATATTATGATCATTGTGAAATATCATTTTCTGACGTGTTTTCCACGTAAAGAAAAACGCACACATACTCATTCAAACAAATACGCATATCTGAAAATTTGACATAATTTCATCATCAGCTGACATTGGTTAGAGAACCATTGGAAAACCTGGGAGTACTGGAGGGATATTTCGTCCTTGACTTGGACTCTTCATCAGTACGCACCCACCGGGGTCCGAACTCAGGACCTTTTGGTTACAAGATGAGCTCGTATACCATTAAGCCACTGGGACCCAATCCAGTGGCCCATGAATTCTAACTTCTGCAAATTCACGACATAGCGCGACCACTAGCCAATGTCTTTGGCGAGTATTTGTCCTTACACCTGACCTGCTGCACCCTACTGGTCACGACTTCTCACTGAAACCCCAGGTAACTACCTACCTGAATAGGGCAATTAGCTAGTGAGCACCTAATCGATATTCAAGTGTTGGTTTGTAGGGATTTGACATAAGTCGTCACAAATGACTGATTGCATTTTTCTATCGGTACAAATGTCTGCCAACGAGTGACCTGTAAAGTAACTAACTTCAGTTTATGTAATTCTGAGAGTTAATCAAATCCGAATAGTTCTGCTGAAGAAGCTGTGGACTGCACAGCAAAACGCTCAGAAAAATCTTCTTTCGATTTTCCTCAAACACACTGGGACTATTTTAAACACATTGCAATGATGCAGTCTGACTCGGTGATCAAATTATTCAGGGAAATTAGTAACACCTACGGTCCGGAAACTTATAGACTGAGCAGAAGTCATTTGAAGGTCATGTTTTTGGAAGGAATCCTATACCTCCACAATCTGACCGGGGAACTCTCATCTGTACAAAAGTTTCTATCAAGTTTGCGGACTACACAACTTGTTCGGAGAAGAAATGCAACAGAATTCCACCTAAATTCAATTCTTTGTTCAAATCGTTATACCATAAGTCATCCGAAGAGCTCAGTGGGACTTTTCTAGGAAGTTATTTAATTACAGTGCTAGAATGAATCTGAGGTGGTTTCCAATTGGCTCCAACTAGAAATGACGCTCAAGAGTGTTGCATGGCCATCTATCTGACAGACATGGGCTTTGGCCACACTATCTGTTGTCTCTTTAGCCTGGACAACGGAACCTGGTGACCAGGCCGCTTTTATCATCGCCCCAACTTATGAAGGAAGAATACAGTATATTCGGTTGTTCAGGGATGTCTGTTGATGATAGTGTGAAGAGAATATGGAGATACATACATGGTCACATCGTAACGCGTCAATCGCGCTCTCTTCCCTTGAAAATCCAGTTATCCGTAGTGTGATTCAGTCTGCGCAGATAAACGAATTGATCGTTGGAGGTGAAATGGCTGAAGTTGGATTGAATTGGCGAATTCCCTCGGCTCAGTACACTTCGACGGTGCAGTCTAACACCCGTTGCGCCTTTCCCGAGTTTCTAGGATTAACACGCGATGATCGAACACATCATTTGGGCCGGCGTGTCACATTCACCTACTTGGTCCACAACTTCTGGCGAACTTGGGAATAAGTAATACATAGACGTTAATATTCTTCAAATGATCTATGGAGTCTCCACCTTGAAGAATATTGCACACAAGTGTCTTACTAGACTAGATGTGGCCGTTTAGCATTAGAATAAACCAACTCATAAGAGCTCTAATAGCACAAGACTTCTTTCTTCCTTAGAATTTCGGGCTATGATTTAGAAAGCTGCAGATACGACTCAGTGAATAAGTAAACTGAGTTTGCTGCATTTTAAATGTGTAAAATGCTTCTACTTCTGTCCTCCAACTAGCCGCTGTACACACACATTAATTTACGCAAGCACCAACATACCTTGATGACCTTAAAGTTTCTCTACAGTTGTCCAAGACTTAGGGAACAAACACCTGATACCTTTGAGTACAACCTTATTCCACAAACGTTTTACAGCATTACTTACGCAAAAACGAACAGGACGGAGGTGAATCGGCCGCAGGTAATTTCGGGCGCGTTATTGAGCAATTCAAAATTGGCACAGAGATTCACATAACATCAAATAATCCCCCGTGGAAGATAGAATCTTAGGATATTTTTAAGTCGAAAACCCCGACGCTCTAGAAGCAGAACTAGACTTTCTAGAAGAATTCTTCATCCAAAATGGATACCCACAGAGATTTATTAAGAGGAATAATAGAGAAATGAAGCACCGTTTGTGTGAAAAATTTTCAAATGAGACTTAACCTGTGATATTCTTAAGAAGAAAATGTCATCATGTTTGAGAAAAGCATTCTTCCCAGCAACGCTAAGAATATCCTTCTTCAGTTTTCCACTGGTCTGCAGAAGCTTGAAGGACAAGATCCTATATCTAACCAATTCTGTGGGCATACATCTGTTCACCTGTTCTTTTGGAGCTAGGTAGGCTGGTCGTTCGTCACGTATCCTGTCTAAAAAGGGTTCAAGAACACTACGCCACATGGTTGCAGAAAGGCAACAGTGGTTCTAAAAGGAGTGCGATATCTGAACACCCTGTCAACATTAGTCATTCTCTCTCGAGAAAAAATCATCCTTCAAAGTAATCTACAATGTGAAGAACAACCTGCCAAAGACAATACACTTTCGCCTCCTTTTGCATTACTGAAGGAAGCTCTAGCCATTGAGATATAGTTGTGCATACCACTTCTACTATCATAGTAACAGCCTTGTTGACTTCTACTTTAATTTTGTTCGATTGTTTTTTTAACGCTTTATAACTCTTGTATTCCTTTCTAACTCTTGCGTAATCTCCCATTCAACCTCGTTTCTCTGTGCATTTTGGTTACAACTCGTTCATCAAACTATTCTTCGGGAACAGTGAAGAATAGACACCAACTTCAGACGACCTTGAAACAGCCAATCAGATTCTTCTAGGTGAAAAGTGGTACTTAATTTACAAAGAAGTGTATCTATGATATATGTAGTAAAAATGAATCATATAGGGTATATATCTCTAACATGCTGCGAAAACTGGTCCCAGATTCTCATAGAAGTGGTTATAGACATATCAAACCAATGTATTCTTTATGTCTCCAGCTGTAGCAGATACTGGTTGCATATACGCAATATGTTACTAAGGGAGTGTTTTGATTTCGAGAAGAAAGTGTTAAAAAAAAATCACCAGTTATGTACGACTTACCAACTTATACAGACTTCCTCATATAAAGTGGTTCCATCTGAATGTATAACCATCAATAGTCCGGCAATACTTTTCCAGAGTTAATATCCCTCCGTACATACATGTTTTATTCCTCCCAATTCAAACAAATTATCTACAGAGAAGTCAAAAACCAAATCTAGGAGACACTTTCAAAGAGGATTATGACTAGGAACTATTTGTAATGCTGAGCTATCTGATTGGTCAAATCAAGGTCATTTAACTTTGGTGTCTATTGTTTACTCTTGCCAAACTCATCACTTTTATTTCTATCCCATTTCATGAAAAATTGTATATAAATGTGATTGTACTACTAAAGACGAGAATAATTTCGCCAAAAAGAGGCTCTTAGATGAACTACTTGTTTTGTTGGTTTCATTAATGCATAGGATGGGAATATACATGAAGGGAAAACATCAACCTGTAAACTTCTTTACAGCTGAGTTAAATTCACTGTGTTAGATTCCTCATAAGAACTTGTCCAAGTGTCAGTGTACACTAGAATCGTTATTTCTTTGGAAACAGTTTACAGGATGATTAACTCTATTGAAGTATTTGTCAAAAAATCAAATGGAGAGTCTGTGGCGGAAACTGCTTTAAAATAGTCGCATTTCTAAGCAGTCCCTGACAAATTTAAAGCAATAAAGTCTGAAAAGGGAAACAGTTTTTAATTCATGTATATATTTTTGTTTGGAAACTTATTACATTGAATTGATGATTTAAATTCATTTTAAACAAAAAGCGATTATTGTTTGTTTTTGTTATTTTTGATTTGATAAGTGAGAAATAATTTATCCCATGTAACAGGTACTCATTTCATTGGCTGCTAAGTCATAGCATGTTATGCGTAATCTGCATTTACCTATAACGACATCAGTTGCTGATTTCGCATGTAGAAGAAATGAAGCTGTATAAACAGCTATTTCAAATTCTGGAGATGATCCTATGAAAACACTTCCCATTGGCTTTTTATATTTTTTTTCATCAACAAATGTTACACTGAGAAGTTGATCGTTACATGCCTGAAATGGAATAGGTAAAGAAAAGTATGGACATTAGAGTATGTGAAAACTGAGATTTCATGTTTGACAGATAGTTTGGAAATATGAATTTCAGGTTGATCTGCTTGACAGTGACACTGTTAGAAGGGGATTCATAGAATTAACCGCCTTTTATTTGTCCATTGAAAGTATCTTGCAGAAGTGATGTCCCATTGCTCTGGTTTGTCAGCAAAACTTGATATTCACTTGTAGGTGCCGATGTCACATACTGAACTTGCCTTCTTCGTTTAACCCTGATCAGTGCTCTACCTAACGTGTCAGTACCGACAAAAACGAACTCAAAGTAAAAAGGCTTGTGACTTGGTAGTGTGCCTGGATGAGAATTATATTTTTACAACAGATTAAATGTCAAATTTAATAAATAAGAATACTGTACAACTTATCTGTTAACTGTCTGGGGTAGCAAGCTCAAGAGTGCGCTTAATGATAATAGCACAACGAGGGAGCAAGCCACATGCGAGCAGTCAGGCCGGAAGAACAGTGAAGGCGCGGCGCCATATTACATGAATGCATTAAAACAAAAGTTCAAACACTCAGGGTGCATTACACACTTATCAGCATGTATTTCTAAGCCGTCCATTACATTTAAATGGAATGCATATCGGCAACATAAAGCATTTACTGTTTTATGAATAAAATATCCGCTTTACATACAAGATCTCAGTGAAGTGCTTCAAAATCTCGTCAGTCCATCATCCCAAAAAGTAAGTTGTATGTATGCTGATGTGGTGACTATGTGGCATTTGTATCTGCTTCAGCTATCAGGCATCCTCATGGCCTCTGTCTACACTGAAGTCTAGACTCGGATAGACCATTTTTGGGTCATATGCAGATATCCATTTAGGCAGATGCTACGCTGACTAATCACTTGCAAAGAAACCTAGAACGTTCATTACAACATTTTTAAAAACAGTCTAATCGGCTTGCAAAGCCAGTATTCAGTAGTTTTAACCGTATTAATTCACCGTCCGTTAACACCTATCCACCTAAAGAAACGAAGGTCCTGAAAAATCTATAGGTACTTAGGCTCCTTCAGGCATTCTGCCTAAAAAGCTTTTCCTTAGCTTCTTTTAAAAATACTGGTGGGCTTCTACCCAAAGAAGTATGGAATATTGACTGTCCATTCTTTGTTCGACGAGGACAGTCTAATAGGAAAGATTCCTCTTAACTTTTGTGGATGTCACATGTATGAATTTAGAAACATGCTATTCAGGTTTTCACTTTCATTGAATTATTACCAGGATTTTATATCTGTCCACTTTTGTCCGAAACAATCAGTGTGAATGAACACAGGCATAGGAAACTTGTGAAGGTAAATAGTTACAGTCAACGTAACCAAGAAAGGGAATACCGAAAATCACAATTCAGACTGAAGCTGACGCTGAAGATGTTGTTTAGAAAGGCAACGAAAGCCGTATCCATGTAGTTTAGAGAAAAAAAAATCACCAAGAAAAGATTCCGTTCTCTTTACTAACAACAAAATGGCGAGAAGTATAAATTTTGTGTTTCATGATTTACCAAGTTGTTTATCTGATTGAGATTATTCAACTATTTAACCATTTTGGGTATTTATTTATGTTTACACTCTCCAGTCGATGTACATGATCCCACTTATCAGCTGCCTCACTCTGATGAAATGAACTTTGTTAAGTATGCCGATGATCTAACAATTTCAATGTCCGTTAACTGTCAGCTTGACTGCACTAAGATAAACAACTTTCTATCAGAAATTAGCGAATGGTCTCCGTCTAACGGCCTTAAACTCAATCCTTCTAAATGTCAGACTGTTAATTTCAGTTTCCGATGTAAACGAAAGTTAAATGAAGCCGTTGGTTCCTATGACCCTTGCAAAATCGATGATACCGATATAGAAACCAAGTCTGAAGTTAAGTATCTTGGATTAATTCTCTCTTCTGACCTCTCCTGGTCCTCTCATGTCTTAGCGATTTCTAAAAGAATATTTCGTCTGACTTTTTACATTAAGAAGTTAAGGCACTCAAGCATAACTCAACCTCTCCTCTTACAGTTTATCAACTCGTGTATTTTACCTATACTTCTTTACAGTTCACCATTATTCTTTCCTGGATTGTTAAAAAAGGACTATGTCATACTTCGTAGAACTCTGAAGACTGTCAGTAGGACGAGTGGTATCCCCCTGGGCCATATCTTTGACATTGTTACTGATAGGCACTTGATATCATGCAACAAATTTGCTAAAGGAATTTTGTCAGACTGTGAGCACCAACTTTACCCGCAGCTCCAACCTTGTCTCACGTTCTCAGGTAAAACAAGAAGTCATTTCAGAAGACTTTATGCACGTACGTCTAAGTATAAAAATTCCACTATACCATATTTGGCACGTACATTATGTGATGAAAATAGCGTCAGGAATGAACTAACTAACCTTCTTAGCACCACTAAATAAACCATTTCCCTCACCCTTAAAGCATCATACTTTATTGTTATTGTATTTCTTATATTATAATCCTCTCAATTTTTTCGTTTTGTTTATTTTTTTCATAATTGTGGACATAATTTAAGCTGTATTATAACTGTCAATTTTGTATTTCCCCTCACTATACTATATCAACAGAACATTAGATAGATCCAATAATCTATAACATGCTAAAGTTTCCAAACTGAATCGACAATACTGTTTGAAACAAACTCACTGTTATTATTATTATTCTATTTAACAATCTCAATTCATGCTTCGAATATTTTTGACTTTATGTCATAAACGTGGACAAATTCCTCCGATTAATTTTGTTCTAATTATTAATTTTATTTATATTTTGAGTAAATCAGATGCAATATTGTGACAAATACTGAGAATTCCATTCTGTATTATAAGTACTGTTTTTGGAATAAAGTAGATTATTATTATTTTGTTGTATGAGTTCCATGGAGGGATGACAGAATATTACCTCGTTTGAAAAATGAAAATTACTTGTTTGCTGATTGCTAGTGGTAGAATTCATGACACCAGTTTTTTCTTAATTAAGCCTTTTCATGCGAATTTACATGCGTTTTTATGGAGTGGTATAGCGCTTTCTGAGACTCGAACCCTGTTTCCATTGCTTCAAAAACCTAAGGGTTATCCACAGCTAGTCTCCATCAAACAAGAAGCTTCGAGTTCTTATTCCTGTCTCTATCAGGGCATCCATTCAAGGAGCTCATACGTCAAAATGATGCTGATCAAAGCGGTGAGAAATATCAACGGGAAGTCAAAAAATGAATAAATAACTTCAAATTCTATCTGTGGCACAAAATGTGGCAGTCGAAGCCCATTCGCCTAGTGAATAACGCCGTGGAGTTTATACTGATGGATTCTGAGTACTAGTCTCACTGAGAATTCAAGTAAATCTAACTGGCACAACCCACTTGGGACGAGACACATGTCCTGGATTCTGCTACTGACGACCAGCAAAAATGTAACAATTAAGTAATATTTTTGAAAAATGATGCGAAATGTCATACCCGTTTTTTCCATCCAGAATAATTTATCTGATTTTTCTTCTCTTTTAGATAAAATTGAATCCAGTTATGCAATCCAAGTACAGTGGACTGTTTGTGTTCACCAACGAATACATGCTCAAAGGCAGATGAATCTCCAGGGCTACGGTTTTAATCCATATTTCCCAGCAAGGTTTAGAATTTCAAAATTAGGAATAATAAGAAAATTCGAGAAAACAGGGAAAAACATATTCAGTTTCTGTTTTATGCATCAAAAATACTGGAAACAACAGCAAGCGACATACTGGAGTCCAGAATAGAATAGATTTGTACCTCAGATGTTGTGAATATGTACTCTAAGCTGATGGTTTTAATTGTGTAGGTTTTATTGTCCGCCTAGTCAAGGTCTTCACATTATTATAATCACTGGTTTTGCTTAGAAGGATGAACAAAGCTTCGTGATTAAAACCAACCATGTCAGAGAACACAATCACATCAAAAATAGTTAAGGCTTATTTGTGTAAGATAACCAAGTGACTAGAAATCAGTGGAATCGTTAACATGCAGATATTTTTCTTCACGCTCGACCTGATGGATCCCAATGGTCACGACTTCTCACTAGAATTACTGGCAACTTCGCCTTGTAACCAGTAACTAGCATGCATCAAATTAATTTTCGAGAGTTAATTTGTTGGAAATCGATTTGTTTTAAGTTCGATCATGGATCAATATCAGTTAGACAGGCACTGAATACCAGGAAGTACTAGAAAGCTGTTTCTTACTAGTCTGAGACTCAGTATTAAAAAATCAGTAGATTGTAATTAGTCAGATGACTGAGACATAAGAATTTAGCTAAGTACATGATGATTGACTCCACAAAGAAGAGTAATTTTTAAAACTCAGCAACTGAAATGCATGCATTAACACACACACAATCACACAATAAAGTTGAACAGAGTTACATTTCTAAAAGCTAATATAAGTAGGTGGAGAGCAAGAGAGAGAGAGGTTGATTATTGCATCTTTATAAGTGTTGCTCTGCAGGGATTTGTTTGATTTCACAAACCGACTTCAATTAGAGAACCATTGAGCTGTTTGGTGCTTGTTTTTTTCTGACTCTTCAGTGGTATGCATCCATAACCTCACCAGAAATTGAATCCAGGACCTTCAGGTTAAAAGGTGAGCTCGCTATTCGTCTAATCTACGCCCAACTCACGCAATAGGAATGACTCATCACCAGTAAAACCAAAGGATAAAAAATCATGAAACTACATAAACAGAATTTGGATGTTATGTAAATGCCTTGATGTGATCATGAGACGTGATAATTTGTGCTCGAAACATGTCATCAGTAAATAACACCGTATGAATGTGCGATTCTATCAAATGAATTTACTTCATCGTGGAATTAAGCAAGATATGTAATATTTAAAAAGTCGTCAACATCAGTTCTGTGAGTGCTGATATGCATCAGTATAAGGAAGCTTCTGGGAAGCATCGTTTAAACTACAGGCGGAACTGTTGAGGAAATCAAAGCAGCGAGGATCGGGAAAGCAAGACAAGCTTTCACTACTCTCAAGTCTGTGTGGAGGTCAACAGCACTCAGCATCAAAAATAACATCCGGATTTTCAACTCCAATGTGAAGTCAGTTAGTGCTACTATACGGATCAGAGACTTGCACTGCGCGTCATAAAGAGCACCTCAAACAAACTACAGACCTTTATTAACAGCTGTCTTCACTCAATACTCAAGATCAGATGGCCAGGAAAGATCAGCAGGATGGATCTTTGGGAGCGAACCAACCCAGCAGGAACCGATTGTGCAACAAATAAGCAGGTATATATGGAGATGGATTGGCCATACTCTGAGGAAACCATCAAGTGCCATCACTAGACAAGCCATTGCTCGAGTGGAACTCGAAAGGGAAGTGGCGAGTTGGTCGTCAGTGCAAGGGTGACTCGGAGGAGCTCATGTGAAGAGGAGATGAAAGCGTGTGGCAGACTTGGAGCCAGGTGAAGACTCTAGCAGAGAACCGAACGCAATGGAGACGCGTGGCTGAAGCCTTATGTTCCTCTAGGAATTAAAGGAAACAATAATAATGAGGTAGTTTCAGCTTCTAAAGAATTTTTCCTGATGAAAGTCGACGTTATCCAGTTACATATAGTATTCATAGACATTGACTCAGGTGTTAACATCTCATAAATCTGGGTCACATATTCACACGGTTAGAAGTCTCATAAATTTCACTAGCCTGTATCCAGTTATCTGAAGGCATACAATAAAATAGCCTTTAGACACCGAGTTGGATTTGCTGAAAGGATAAAAGATTTAAATGTGGACAATAAATTCATGATATCATTTGACGTATCTTCCTTATTCACCAATGTACCACTTATGGAAACAGTGGACTTTGTATGCGAAGAACTCATAAGACGAAACATCGATGTTGGCATTCCTATATCTTTTATAAAAGAGCTTCTCTTGAAATGCACAATGAATGTCCACTTTTCATTTATTAAGGAACTATATAGACAAATCGATGGTGTGGCAATGGTGTCACCACTAGGACCCATTCTAGCCGACATTTTCCTTGCGAAACTAGAAAATGGGCCTTTGAAGGATGTCATTGATGAAATTGAATTCTACTGTCAGTACATGGATGATACATTTTTGATTATGAAAAATGAGGATGAAGCAAAGAACATCCTAGAGAAATTTAATGATGTTCATCCTGCAATAAATTTTACTATTGAGAAAGAAGAAGACTCTAGTATTTCATTTCTAGACGTCCTTATGACCAGAAAAGAGGATGGCACAATAAGAAGAAATGTATATAGAAAACCTACATCAACGGGTCACTATACTCATTTTTTCAGCTTCGTGCCCTTGAAATACAAACGCAATCTGATAAAGTGCTTGGTTCACAGAGCAAGAGAAATTTGCTCGGACGAATGTCTTGATGAGGAACTTAATAATAATAAACAGTTTCTGAGTGAAAACGGTTATCCAGAAAAGTTAATTGATAAGAATATGAATCTAAAATCAAGGCAGCCCAAGGTACCAACAGTTCCTGAAAAGGCCTTATTCTTACAAATGCAGTTCCTAGGGGACAACATAAGCGAGATACTAAAACAATGCCTTAGGAATGAGGTAAAAGGAGCATTCCCTGCTGCTGAATTACGCTGTGTCTTCGAAACCATCCCTATTTTGCGTTCGGGAGTAAAAGACAAACTGCCTAATTTCGCCTCTTCCATGTGTATCTATCAATTTAACTGCTTCTGTGAATGAGCCATTTACATAGGAGTGTTTCTCGTCGGATTTCCGAACATCACCCGGTGTGGTTAAATAAAGGACAAACAAAATCTATTCGTAGAGCTATTTTATCTCATCTTGTGGATACACAACACAAGATTGATGTTGACCAGGCTTTCAGAGTCTTTTACCGCATACCAAGAAATCCTAACTTCACCTTAAGAGTTTGTCTACTAAATATTGCTGAGGTCGTTAGGATCCACATTAAGAAACCTAATTTATGCGTCCAAAAGAAGCTAGTTTAGACATTGTCCTTACCTTGACTATCTAGGTTCTGATGATCCTCAATTTTTTGTAGAAATTTCCTTAATTTTATTTTATATTCTATTTGCTATTATATTATTATCATTATTATTATAATTTATGCGTCTTTAATGAACTGTAATTCCATTGATCTTATTTAATGAATCGATATTATTTAAAAACCACTAATATTGCTATTGACTGCTATTCTAGAATATTCTATGTATATAAACATATACGTATATAATTGTAGAGCCAGAAGACGAGGAATTCATCGAAAAGAATATTCTTCGCTCAATCATTTTGTGTCTTATAGATGTCTGAATGAATATTTTCGATATAATTCTTTGTTCACAAATAGAATTCAGAGATTTTTATCAAGTGAAGACAAAAAACTTACCTTATCCAAAAATAGAGCTTACCTTTTTCGCTTGTATCTTTTAAACCAAAGATTTTTCAACTGTTTCCCAAAATCATCTATGGTTCCAGATATTTTACCTTTTTTTAATAGAAATTCATAAGTCATTTTCATGACTTTTGTTTTAAGTAATTCTTTAATAAAATTATCCTCTTCTTTTGAATGTTGTGGTGTAACAGTCTCATGGACACCGACAGTAGGATTGTAATTATCCAACAAGGAAATAAAGCCTAGATGGGTATAGTAGTAAAAACAGGAAAAACAAGACAACAAAAAGAGAAAATTTAGAAATGAGTATTCCATCATAGATGCTGACGACACATTTATTTAGCATTGTGAGTACTTTCATGTTATTCGAAAAATTTCTATTCACACTTTTCAAATAAACAACAGACTGGGTGAACAAAAATATTATTATTGTTCCCTTGGGTTCCTAGTGGAACATAGGGCTTCAACTACACGTCTCCACTTGCTTCTGTCTTCTGATGTACTTTTCAACTGCATCCATGTTAATCCATACTGTTTCAACTTCTCTTCACACGATCTCCTCCATGTCACCCTTGGACGTCCCACTCGCCGCTTCCCTTTCGGGTCCACTCGAGGGCCTGACGCGCGATGTCACCCAGATGAAAAAAATATACTCCTTTTCAATTAGTTCTTTATCAATGGCTCTACACCACACATATACGTATATATTCAGGGTATGACGTTTCAAAGGGAGAGATGGTTTGGGTAGATATCATTGCGATGAAGACACTTCCAGTAATGCTTGGGATATTCTTTCTTATCAATACAGCTCTTTAGAAAATTGATTCTTGTGTTCGCTATGGCAAGCTTGACAGAAAACTTAAGAAACGTATCAAGTTCTTTCACTGTCACAGGATTCTTGCTCTGCTTCAAATCACCGAAAATACCCATTGAGTCATGAAGAAAATAAAAGACAAATTCAGCGGAGAAAAAAACTTCTTTATCGAAGAAATCATCTTCAAAGGCTGTACAGTCGTATTTATGTTTCAATATATTAAATATTCCCATAGTAAAATTTAAAACAACACATTTAAGCGAACAATATTGTTTTCAATTAGATCTCATCAGGCTTAACTCTAACATACAGAAGTTTACAATTAAAAATTCAAATATAAACCAATCATGGTGTTTTGTCCATAAGATAATAAGATTGTGCATATAAATTGTGCAATTAGTCATAATAGTAGTAATGATAATAATAATAGTAATAATAATAATGGTCTTATCAATAATAAGGATGAAAAAGTGAGGCAATCTGTGATAACACGAACTACTAGACAGCTTAGCCAACGTGTTAGTGAACACCTCCCATCGTCGTTTGGTAAAGTACAGACAAAGACAATCCATAGCTCAATTTTGCCACATTTAATTGATGTTGGTCATGTGGTGGAGAAAACGACAGCCTTCAAAGTAATTCATCGTATCCCACCGAATCTTTTCAATAGACTTCGTATTCGTTTACTGTACACAGCTGAGGCGATAGGTATTCGAACTATTAAACCTAAACTATGTATTCAAAAGAAGTTCGTACAGCCATTATCGCTACTTTGGCCTATTAGGACATAACCAACTAATGACTTCTACACCACCCTTTGTTTATATTTTCAACTCCTTTCTTATCATCCCTTAATCTTATCACATTTTCATTATAAATGTGTGTTTCATTTCCTTCCCTTACAATCTAACATTACTTAATCGGTTCATTTGTTTGTACTAGCCTTTATCGACTTCTTCCACCTGAACAGTTGTTTGTTTAATCATACTGTTTTCTCATTATTCGTGTTATCACAGATTGCCTCACTTTTTCATCCTTATTATTGATAAGACCATTTTTATTATTACTATTACTATTATTACAGTTATCATTACTATTATTATGACTAATTGCACAATTTATATTCACCATCGTATTATCCTATAGAATTCGGATTTTCATAACAAACAAACGTCAAGTCAGTTCTTCAATACGAATCAGAAACGTGGCGGGTCACAAAGAATATTTCCAACAGCCTGTTGCAGACCTTTATCAACAACTGTCTTCACTCTATACTGAGGATCAGATGGCCGGAAAGAATCAACAACAAGAAACTATGGGAACAAACAAAACAAGAACCAATCGCCCAACAAATATGCAGGAGAAAGTGGAGATGGATTGGACACTCGCTGAGGAGGCCGCTGGGTGACATCACGCGTCAGGCCAGTGCTCCAGTGGAACCCGAAAGGGAAGCGGCGAGTGGGACGTCCAAGTGTGACATGGAGGAGATCGTCTGAAGAGGAACTGAAACAGTATAGACTAACATGGATGCAAGTGAAAAGTACAGCAGAAGACAGGAACAAGTGGAGACATGTAGTTGAAGCCCTATGTTTCACTAGGAACCCAAGGGAACAATGATAATAATAATATAATAATTATCCTATAGACAAAACACCATGATTGGTTTATATTTGAATTTTTATTTGTAAATTTTTGTATATTAGAGTTGAGCCTGATGAGATCTAATTGAAAACAATATTGTTCGTTTAAATGTATTTATGTTTACCAAAAATGTTTAGTAGTCTATTATTGAGTAATAGGGCGGGTTGACATAATTAATATAATTACTTAGAAGTGGTTTCAAAAGTAAAAATGAAAGTTGTAAATTACATAGTAATCAGTGGCACAAAGAAAGAAAGGCTTAGAAATATGATTAGGTTAAAATTGTTATTGAGTGAGAAGAAGAGTAGTTGAGTAACAAATTTAACAAGTGTGAAAAGGGTGAGAAAATGCACAAAAAGAATAAATTTGAGAGTGACAATAGTGAATTAATTATTAAAGTGAAATAAAACTAAAATTGAAAATGTAGAAAATTAAAAATAAAATTTTTACAGGGAACGACTAGTTAATAGGTTTTTGGTAAATATAAATACCACTGTACAGCCTCTGAAGACGACTTCGTCGATATAGAAAATTTTCTTCTCTGAACTGTCTTTTATATTCTTCATGATTCAGTGGGTATTTTCAGAAATATATACGTACATATATACTACTATCGCCAATGCTTTTCCTGATTGCAGTAGATTGGATAATGTGACAAACAGCGGGCTATGAGGAAAAAGGCATAAAATGGACTCACACAAAAAACTTGGAGGATCTGGGCTTCGCCGATGATATATGTCTGATTTCCCACAAACTGGAAGATATGCAAGCGAAAAGCAACAAGTTGGCAGAAGAAGCATCCAGAGAAGATAGGACTTCAGGTGAACATAGAGAAAACAGGGGTGATGAAGATTCCTGGGCAACACCACCAACAGCAACAACAACAACAGATAACAATCAGCATAAATGGGAGGAACCTGAAAGAAACAACCTCCTTCACCTACCCTACCTGGGAAGCATCGTTTCAACTACAGGCGGGACTGACGAGGATATCAAAGCAAGAATCGGAAAAGCAAGACAAGCTTTCATTACTCTCAAGCCTGTGTAGAGGTCAACAGCACTCAGCATCAAAAATAAGATCCGGATTTTCAACTCCAATGTGAAGTCAGTGCTACTCACTGCACGGATCAGAGACTTGGCGCGTCATAAGGAGCACATCAAGAAAACTACAGACCTTCATTAACAGCTGTCTTCGCTCAATACTCAAGATCAGATGGCCAGAAAAAATAAGCAACAGAGATCTCTGGGAGCGAACCAACCAGGAACCGATTGTGCAACAAATAAGCAGGTATATATGGAGATGGATTGGCCATACTCTGAGGAAAACATCAAGTGACATCACTAGACAAGCCATTGCTCGAGTAGAACCCGAAAGGGAAGTGGCGAGTTGGTCGTCAGTGAAAGGGTGACTTGGAGGAGGTCATGTGAAGAGGAGATGAAAGCGTGTGAGCAGACTTGGAGTCAGGTGAAAACTCTAGCAGGGAACCGAACGCAATGGAGATGCACGGCTGAAGCTCTATGTTCCCCTAGGAATTAAAGGAAACAATAATAATAATATACTACAACGGTGAAAACCGACTCTTTGTGGTCTGAACTCATGAAACTGATCTTTACGTCCTATTGTGCATCTAACAGAAACTTCCTTGCGAGACAGATGCACAGCTACAAGTACTTCAAAGATATCTAAAAGACGGTTATTCATCCTGAGATCTATGTGGTTCCATTCAACAACAACAACAACAGTAACATCAAAAACTCAAAATCACCTCAACAGTGCTTCTAGGTAGCTATTCAGGGTTGATATTTTTCTAAGTAAAAAACAGATACTGAAGAACAAAATAAGTTAATCAAAGTTCAACTGTTAGAAGTACCTTAGAATCAAGTAGAATATTCCCAATAAGGTGGGGTCAAAACTCTGTCCACAAGAATCATACACCGACGCTTTCTGCAGACAATTCCATGTCAGAATGAAGATTAGTTATTCAAACAAAATCACATCATAAAAAAAGCAAATTATCAACGTAACGCACAACCATAAACAGAAGTATTAAGACAAATAATATGGATCAAGTCAACATAAGACAAGTAAACGTCAAAATAATGAAAATCCCCATTGAGTCATATGAAAAAGAGAAGACGTTCAGCGAAGTGACTCTTTTAGGCGAATTCATTCACATAGCTGTACAGTCGCATTTATATATAATTATTTGTGTGTGTGTGTATATGAGGTTTGTCAAGTTTAGATAATTGATTAGTTAATACAAGAATCATGTAATATAGAAACAAAGTTAATCAGACAGCAGCTAAAGTAAGATTGAGTTAGTAAGCTAGATGACGTAATATAATTGACGAAAATGTTTCAACTTAGATCAGGGTAGCAACAGAGGTAATTACAGGTAGCGACTAAGTAGAAATGGGGTAGAGAATTATGCCATTTAAATTAGAACTGAAATTGAGCAAATAAGTTGGATGACTAGAAATTGAGCGTTGTTCAAGTCAGTAACAGTGGTATTGAGGTGTAGAAATTGAATCGGGTGGGGGTAGAGAACAAGAAAGTTGAAAATGTAAAACATTACAATTGAGAAGACGAAATAATACTAATGAAGAGACAGAAGAAAAGATTAGGTAGAATTTACTTGTTGGCTAATAAGATAGATTACGTCCATTGCAAGTGTAGTGATTGAAGTTCGTTCAATCACTATACTTGCAATGGCCAGTCCATAAATTCTACCTTCCGCCAATTCGCTACATATCGCGACCACTTCACAATGTCTTCTTCGATGAGTTACTGTCTCATCTTCAACCTGCTGTACCCTACTGGTCACGGCTTCCCACTAGAACCCCAGGTTAACTGCCTGAATAGGGCCAGCTGCTAGTGAATATCAGATTAATTTTCGCATGTATTGGTTTTTGCACGGATTTCGTTTGATTGGTTGGAGGACGAAACAGCTTTCCAGTACTCCTAGATTTTCCAATGGTTCTCTAATTGATGTCACCTCATGATGAATATAATTCTCTTTGATATCCAGTATGTAACCCAGATGAATATATTGAAAAACGAAATACTAGTAACGGTATGTCCCACTAACAAGAATTTAGCAGTATTATATTGGGTAAGATGTTATTGGAAATAAACTAAGCAGCAATGGACAGTCTTCCCACACACGACTGCACCAGCAATCGAATGTGGGATCTTCAGTTTATAAGGCTATTCTCGTTGATCATTCAGCTATTTGCGTGGGGAGAGACTAAGTGATTCGCAAATTCTAACTTTTGTCAACCCGTAATGTACAGTCACTCCCAATCAATGCAAGTGATGAGCATCTACTACTCCTTGACATGGTGGACCTCAATGTCCATGACCTCCCTTTGTAACCTCAGGATATCCACCCATTAGTCACCAGTGTGCACTATGCCGAATAAATAAATCTGCTAACAAATACTACTATGCTACATTAAGAGTATAAGACATTATATAACCTGAGTGAAGTAATTATGAAATTTAGCTTTGAAATTTGTGTGAAACTATTATACTGTTAGGCCAGCGAAAAGACTAACGCCAAAAACTATTATCCTACTTTGTGAATATCACTCCAATCTGTTAACTGATGATAATAGTTTCCATAGCTTATACATTTTGATCGGAGAATAAGCAAAGTTGCATAGTGCCATGAAGATAACCAGATTATTAAATTACTGGGGTTTTCACAGAACGACTAAGTTCTTAGAGACGAAAATGTCCCTCAGTCATCTGATCACCCATACTCTTCTTCAGATAAAGTGTCTCACGTAAATTTTGTTAGTTCTGGTCGTTTGTCAGATGATTCTTTTGATTATCAGTACTATACGCTTTTATTTCTTCAGTTCTTGTATGTGATATTTAAAATATACAATAACGTCAACTGTGGTTCCTTAGGGAAAATGTGAAATCAAATGTCTTAGTCTATAGTACTTAATCGTTAAACACCAAATAGAATAGCTCCAATGATTAAGAATTACGAATGACATGAGAAATTTCTAGAGTTGATTTTCGGAAAATTGATGAGTTTGAATTATTTCTCAAATTCATTTTAGTTTTCAGATAAAACAGTAAGGAGACGTAATTTATCTGAATCGTGTAGTGTTGTATTTGCGCAACATATTTCGAACAATCTGATCACACACACACAGACTTGTCATAGGAATATATATGAAATTAATAAAGAGGTAAGAGGTGAGAAAATAGACTTCGATTAAGTTTAAAGGACATATTCAAGGTCAAAGTAACAATGAAGACCACTAAACCAAATAACAGAGGTAATAGTACATCTGCTATGGTATCAAAACAAAATTTACCAAGGAAGGTTTAATGTGATGACGAATTGTTGCTTTGAACGCATAAAGATGGTTTAAACTCCTTAATTGCTAGGGTTTCCACAAACTTTAGGATACGCCCCAAACACGTTCTATAGATTAGTTTAAAAGACGTGTAATCATCAATTTTATGTCCTGTTTCCTCTATAATATGTTTCGCGATAGAGGAGCTAGGTCTCTTGTTCTCACCATTAACGGGTTCTGAAGATTCTATTTACGTCTAATAGCCATTTAGGAATATGCTCTGAAGCCCTTACTTGCAGAGATAGATGAGTCCTCCCTTTGTCTAGTTATCAAGCTGCTATGATGCCCCATATAGGGTAGCTCGATGTACACGTCTCTCTTAGGGGCGAGTTGTAGATTGGGTCTTGGTGTTCTGACTACTTTATATCTCCTGATGAACTTGTCTGGATGATTGTTATCAACCAGAGTTTGTGTCAACTTTCTTTCTTCCGCATCAAGAGTGTCTTCAGTGCATATTCGTTGAATTCTACTGAAGAGGAACCTTACTCAGGCTCTTTTGTACCGAACAGGGCAAAAACTGTGGTAATTAAGATATGTTGCGCAAATACATTACACGATTCAGACAAATTACGTCTTCTTATTGCTTATTTAAATTCATAAAGGGAACTAATTGTTTTAAATTTTAGTTTTCGTCGAAAAAATGTGAAAATTAAAAATCAATGACTCTTCATTTTACATCATTTCATTAAGGCAGTGTAGATTCGTCAAGTGCCGACATCAGCTAGAGAGACACCAGAAACCAGGGAACACTGGACAATCCTTTCGTCCTAGTTTTTCACTTTTCCTCTGTTCGAAACCCACGATTTCATTTAGAGATTGAACTCACGACCATAGGGTTACGAGGTCAAGCTCGTTCAGCATTCAATCGCATGGTCGCAGTTCAGTAAGCCGGCAATTCCAATTTCCATCAATTTGTGATATAGGGCTACCGCCAGCCATCACCATCAATCACCATCCAATACAACTTGAAATGGCGGCACTAGTTCCTCGGTAGCGCAGTATCACTAACTGACAAGGTTAAGAACTAAGGATCATAGAATTCGGGCTGAAGTGGCTGAATGGTGAACGAATGTCGCCACGTAACATGAAGGTGTTGGGTTCGATCATTTGTGGGTCGTGGATGTGTATTCTTGAAGAGTCCTAACCTATAACGAGGTATCTCTTTTATGACTCCTGGTTTTCAGTGATTCTCTGACTGATAACAGTTTATGACGTTGAAATTAATCCAAATTCCTAGAAAAACCATAAATTAATTAAGATAATCTTCAAGGAATGAATATTTTAAAAGAAACATTATAGACATACTTGAAAATGTTGGTCTCTTTAAGAGCGAAGCCTCATTAACGTAGTCAAACAATGGTTTAGGTGCTTTATCAAGTGAATCTTGATCTCTGGCGATTTGACCTATTTAAAGAAAAAAAAGAAATTCAAAGGACACATTCAACGCTATCTGAATTTCTTAAAGTTGAGAAATAGTCTGTTGTGAGAATGTAAAGGCTACTAACTGGATTTATAATGTGCTACTTAACTGTAACAGTAATAAGTACTGACTAACATAAAATGAATTGATTTTTTCGAATGTAGTTAACTCTCTTGTTAAAAGGTCAAGTGCTGCGTATGAGCAGATGGTCAGAAATTAAGTTATTTGGTTACTGGATTTCATCATGAGCTGACATTAGTTAGAGAACCATTGGAAAACCTGCAGGGAGTACTGGGCAGCTGTTTCTTCCCAGTTTGGGACTCTTCCGCAGTACGCACCCACCGGGATTCGAACCCAGGACCTTCTGGTTACAAGGCGAGCTCGTATGCCACTAAGCCACTGGGACCCGATTCAATGGCCCATGAATTCTAACTTCTGCCAATTCACGACATAGCGCGAATCCCGGTGGGTGCGTACTGATGAAGAGTCCCAAACTAGGACGAAACTGATGTCCAATACTCCCAGGTTTTCCAATGGTTCTCTAACTGATGTCAGCTCATGATGAAATCCTGTAACCAATCAACCAAATCCCTACAAACCAACACTTGAATTAAGTTATTGTTGAAAATAATCCAAACCCAGAGAAGAACTACCCTTTTGATGACATTAGATGGTTAGAGGCAATGGGCAGGAAGCCTTGCCTGACCTAGGTTTCGTGCTAGTTGGCACTCACCAGTCAGAAAGGCGTATCTGCAACCTCGAAGGAACTCATGTCCCTTCTGAAATTCGAACCCGCATCGTCGAGTGCTGCAGTCACAGACGTTACCACTGAGCTATTCAGGCTCGCTACTGATCACCTATCTTAGGACCGTATTGGATACTTTTTATTGGACACTATTTAGTAACTAGTGTGTAATGTGTACAGTCCTTTCTTTGGTGTAGACTGAATTCTATCAGAAGGGACGTGAGTTTCTTCATAGCTACAGATACGCCTTGTTGATGAATACCAGTTAGCACTAAACCTAGGTTCAAGGCTTCCTGCTGACTACCTCCAACCATTTAATGGCAACATTTCAAAGTTCACTATGATGTTGAGCCACCTAGGAGGGTGGCTACATTCCAAACCTGACTGATAGAATTCACTCTGCACCAAACAAAGGACTAGACACTAGACTGGACACTAGTTACTAGTGTCCAATCAAAACAAGTAGGTTTTCCTAACTAAAAGGCATCATTTTTATCTTTTTGGTTTTGTAATGTTGTTTCTGGATTGTCTATTGAGCGAGATATTCTTTTTTCCAGTTTGCTCACGTTGTACAGATTCTCATATAACATTTTTATCCGTTCAATTTCTTTTTTTGTGAAATACGTTGATTATCATGCAAAAATACAGCACATAAAACAGATGATTTCCGATTGTAAACAAACCTTTCGAAGTTTTACGAGTAATGTAAGCAGCTGTATACTGTAATAACTCTCTTGCTGGTGTTGTTTAAGTACTCGGTTTCGGTGTAGTCAGAAAGTGTTTACTATGCAGTAGCTGTTTCTGTTATTCTAGTGAGAAATGGCCATTGGAACGGGAAGATATGAAGACACTAGTTGTGTATAACCACAGAGGTCTGTGGTCTTTCTACCATGTTAATTGGAATATAAAATGTTTGGTAAGAGGGAAAAGTCAATTAAGACGGCTTGGAAACATGTTACGCATGCCAAACCATCGCCAACCTCGACGAGCAATGACATCTGACATAGGATTAAGTTGAAAAAAGAGTTAGGAGTGGTAAAACTAAATCATATCCCCAGTCCATGAGTCAGCCATGTAGGAAGGGAGAGTGTAAACTGTCTGACTAGGGTTCTCAAGATGCAAGGATTCAATGGACTGAGAAATTTGGTATCATGGCTCAAATTGTTTCTCATAGTCTGTACATCTGTACAGAGTTCTACGCTGTGAAGGCTATCGATACTACTGAGTTGACCAGGCTGAATTAGGTTGAGTAGGACTCGAATCTGGGAACCAAGGGCTTTAAGTTGGATTTATTAGCATGTAGGCCACATATTCAATCAAATAATACCCTCCCGTTGTTCATCTGAACTTAAAAATAATCTAGAACACAATAAATTAACCTTCAAGGATCCTTGGTTTCAAAAAAACTTTAAACGATTAGCCTTAATTTAGTAACACATCTGTTTGTGTAAGATTTCAGTGTACTCTATTCTATTTATTGCGGATAATCCCTGATATGCATATAGGATTCATAAATCCACACACAATAATGAAATATAGCGTAGTTATTTAGACACATTTTGTGACTTACACTGACTGGTCCCTAGGGCCTAAGTGCATTACCAGACGGTGCTAGTTCGATTCCCCTAGAGGGGGATTAATTCCATGAGGTAGGTTTTAGGCAATATGCACAATAATGGTTATGGGATAATTGTCGCCTTGTGTCCACTCACCTAACCTTCTGATATGCTTGAATGAAAGTTAAAACATCAACTAGCCACTGGTAAATAGCTAATGTTATGTATCTAGTGCTCAGTGAGTTCCACCGAACTGGGTGACTCTTCATTACGGTGCACTTTAATTGATGTTTGGTTTCTGCAGACAGTCGACAGGAGGCTGTTAGCCTTTTCAATAAAGCGTATTTACACCCTCAGAAAACTGATGTCCACTCGGAGATGCGAATTCGGCATCACCCTATGCTACAGCTAGACAGGCTTCGCTTACGAATGTCGGTTAGCATGAAACCTAGATCGGGTTCCTCCTGTCAACTGCTTTTAACCACTTAGTTATGAATAAACTGTTAAAACTAATAGAAATTAATAAAAAATCAACTGACTAGGGATTACCTTGTAAATTTAGTCTGTAGTCTCTGCCTTCGATGGCTGCATTTTCATCGGTGTTATATAGCTTTGTGAAAAAATCGCTCAATTCTTTATCTACTTTACTAGAAAAGTAAAAGAAAGTGATTGAAATTTGTAATTAATAAATATTCACGTTAAGTTAATTAAAATAATTTGACAGCTACATATAAAGTTTATGAGTAGCGATCACTTTTTAAAGTGGTAATCTATTACATAAGTTGATAATATCCGTATTACTCTGGTATTACAAGGCTATCTAAAATAGTTTCGCCAACAGGCAACTATCTGACTTCTCGTTGTTCCAGTTCACTGTGATTAGAATTGTGATGAGAAGACAGAGCTATCTAGGCGACTGGTGTAATGGATATCAAACAGAAAGTTGCGCAACACTCATTCATGTTGCTATCAGCCATAACCCATATTAGACGTAGTGAAATGATGAAGTGATCAACAGTTGGTTCCAGTAACTCAGCTTTTAAAGCTCCAGTCGGTTAATTCCGATGACGTTCGTTCAGTCATCATTGAATATAGCAATAGAACTCACAGTTTGGGGAGTAAAACCACTTAATGACCGTTGAAGTGATTTTATTATTATTATTTGGGAATTGTTATTCAAGCTTCTTGGATGAATGTTAAATACGATATACTAGGGGGGTTAATTCAATGAGAAGATTTAGAAATCGATCACCATTTCTGATGACATCAAATTTACAGGAGAAAGGAATCAGAGAACGAAATCCAATTTTCAGATGTCTTGATCACATGAACAAGCGCAGGGAAATTAGGAACTCAAGTATGCAGAGAGGCATCTAGTACAGGTCAGATATTCACTTACAATAACAACAACCCAAAAGCACAAAAGAATTTGTATACAGACATCATTCAAAGAGTCAGGATACAGCACACCACTTCAGCTTTTAGGTGACTAGAGGAGGAACATCTTACAAACACCTTCCAGAAAAGTGATGTTCATAAATTCCATATTAGTTTGTTTATTAGATGCATCACACAGTGGAGAGACAGTATTATTTACTGGATGACAATGTTTCGAACAAAATTTATTGTTCATAATCATATCAATTATAATCATACGACTTCGAAACTTGAGTTTTATAGTTTTCTTTGTCCTCTCCTATTTGTCGTCATTGGGGTAGTAGAATTTTCCAGATGTCCGGGTGGAGGGGTGTTGAGTCATTTCTATTACACGTGTTTGCAGTTGATTCGATAAACAAAGCTTCTGTTATCAATCTCCCCCTCCACCCTGTTATATTGAATTGTAAAATTGTCATCTTACTCTAACCGACAAAACTTGTTTCTAATTGAGTTTGTGGGTGATTAGAATGCCACTTTTATTCCATATGGAGGATTCTTAACAATGCAGGAATAGAAGTGGCATTCAAACCACCCAAAAACTCAATTAGAAACAAGCTCTGTCGGTTAAAGGATTCTGTAAAGCCAATAAAATAAAACAATTTAGTTTATCCCATATCCTGCAATGAGTGTCAGGTCAAATACATAGCTGAGCATAAAATCCTGGCAAAATCTAGATTAGTTGACCCAAATAAGATAAGAAATCTGGAGAATATTTCAGGTATGGCACTATATGCTATTACACACAACCAGACAATAGGATGGGATAAGATGACAGCTCTAAAATCTAGTATAACAGGTTGGAGAAAGAGATTGATAACGGAAGCTTTATATATCGAATTAGCTGCAAGCACGTGTAATAGGAATGATTCAACACTACTCCACCCGGACATCTGGAAAATTCTACTACCCCAACGACGACAAATAGGAGAGAATAAAGAAAACTATAAAACTGAAGTTTCGAAGTTGTGTGATTATAATTGATATGATTATGAACAATAAATTGTGTTCGAAACCTTGTCATCCAGTAAAAATTACTGTTTCCCTCACTGTGTGATACATCTAATAAACAAACTAATATGGAATTACTTACTACCACATGGCCGAAGCTTTACACATATATTAGGATGTTCATAAAACTTAATGAAAAGATAACTAGCTACAATCCAGGAGACTGACTGAAAATTGCCCTATGACAGCACAAAGAAAAGTGTCTAACTGCATATGAAGAAAAATTCTAGAATCCTCGCAAGACTGAGACAACCAGCCATGGCTAATACACTCATGGCGAATTCTAAATCCCTACTTCATTGTAAGATTTGCGGTAAAGATGTTTTTCGAATTACGACAAAAGTCCTGCAATTAAATCATACAGCTCGGGGAATATAAATGCGCATAGTGATAATTTATGTCAGATGGAAGCATTTTAGTCATTTTCCCCGAAGAATTCCGTTATTTAATACAATTCTAACACCTCAAGTGAAGCTTTGCATGTTAAGTTTCATTATCCAGTGAAAAGATTATGCTTCAAAGTATGCTAATTGGAACAGATTTTGAGTGTTAAAGATGTTCAATGTTACCTTTTGACAGTGATATTGAATCATTTAACGTAGTTTATAATTGCTTTAAATTATGAATTGTCATCCCATTTAATTTTGACATGTTTTAAACTGATTAGTAATTATTAAACTTAAACACGATTTATTTTGGTTTTTATACAAAGTGATCACAATTTTATTATACAGCCATCACAATTTCAATTGTTGATGAGACTCTCTGAAATGTTTATAATTTGTAATTATAATTCCCTATTGATTTTTTACTGGAATCGAGTGAAAAACGTCTTCTGGCATACTGGGTGAAGATGTGTATTGAATAAGTCTCGAAATTTGATCAGATAGATAGAATAACGTCACAAAAAACAACAGATGATGTGACTGTTGTTGCTCAGTGTTCCGAAATTCTTCGTTATTATGAGCGCCTGCTATTATTATTTATTATTATTTCCTTTAATTCCTAGAGGAACATAGGGCTGCAGCGGCGCGTCTCCATTGCGTTCTGTTCTCTGCTAACGTTTTCACCTGGCTCCAAGTCTGTCCACTTGCTTTCGTCTCCTCTTCAAATGACCTCCTCCAAGTCACCCTCACCCTTGGACGACCAACTCGCCGCTTCCCTTTCGGGTTCCACTCAAGCAATGGCTTGTCTAGTGATTTCACTTGATGGTTTCCTCAGAGTATGGCCAATCCACCTCCATTTCTTCCTGCTTGTTTGCTGCACAATCGGTTCCTGGTTGGTTCGCTCCCAGAGATCCCTCCCTGTTGCTGATCTTTTCTGGCCGGCCATCTGATCTTGAGTATTGAGCGAAGACAACTGTTAATGAAGGTTTGTAGTTTGTTTTAGATGCTCTTTATGACGCGCTGGCCAAGTCTCTGATCCGTACAGTAGCACTAACTGACTTCACATTGGAGTTGAAAATCCGGATCTTATTTTTGATGCTGAGTGCTGTTGACCTCCACACAGATTTGAGAGTAATGAAAGCTTGTTTTGCTTTTCCGATCCTTGCTTTGATATCCTGATCAGTTCCGTCCGCCTGTAGTTGAAACGATGCTTCGCAGGTAGGTAGGTAAAGGAGGTTGTTTCTTTCAGGTTCCTCCCATTTATGCTGATTGTTGTCTGTTGTTGTTGCGGTTAGTGTTGGAGCGCCTGCTATGAGACTCACTAATACTGACACACACATACACATCTTAGTGATTAGGTGTACGGAAGAAAGATATTCAACTATAGATGATTTTCTAGCATATCTGATAAGAAGTAGAACAAGCGAACCAAAGTTAGCGGGATTATATATTAAATATTCAAGTGACTTAGTAAAGTGTTAGATGGCTGGAAGCTGTCCACTGACCTATTCAGGTCAATGATTGACTGACCTCCTGTAGGACTGTAATGGATACACTGAATGGTCACCAGTAAGTAACCAATTCCTAAGTGTTGGTGTGAAGTTCTTCACACTTACTGACTCAGTTAAATGGGACGCGAATTTAACATTTTGAGTCATTAACAGAATAAAACAGATCAGTTTTTGTCCGCCTACTGTTTTGTCTAAATTCAGCATAGGGGAATTCGTTAACCAAAAATATTTCCAAGCATTTTTAAAATTTATTTTTGATATATTTTGCTATGCATCATGATGAGGAGGTTAAATAAAGATGATAAGCTTATTAAGTGCCAATTCTTAATGAGTGTATATATATAAAGGACCTTAAAATATCCGGATTCCGTGGAATGTTTTTGTTTCGATGTCTCAACAACCCATAGATATAAAAGCACAAATTGACAAGTCACCTAGACAGGCGAACAGCGAATACAGGACTTCAGGCGAACATACAGAACACAAAGGTGACGACAGCTAACAATCCCCATCAATGAATGAAATATAAAGGAAGTCATCTCCTCCACTTTTCAGAACTGAACAGCACCATTTCAGCTGCAGGTCATCACATGGATGAGGATATCAAAGCCAGTTAGAATTAGGCAAACAAGAGAGGTGTTCATCAATCCAAAATCAATGTGGAATTCTACACCACTTAGTGCAATGAAAAAGATCCAAATTCTTAAAATGGCGTTAGCGTTACCAAACGTATTTACAACAGAACACTGCAGACTCTTATCAGTACGTACTAAAGATCAGATAACCGATCGGAAAAGACAAGGACTACTAACATCGAATTAGCTAACAACCTATTGCTGAACAAATATGTGCAGAAGGAAATGAAGCCGATAAGAAGATATCAAGTGACATCACAATCCATACAGACACCATAGTGAAAAGACAATGGGAAGCGATTACTTCGGTGTGGATCCAGGTATAGTATAGTAAAATCATGTGCAGAGAAATAGAAAGTTTTCAGATGACTGTGCCGCCTGCTGAAAGTGATAGCACAGAATCAAAATGTGCTGCTGAAATCCTGTGTTCCACATGGAACACAAAGAAAGAATGATTTAACATACATACATATTAACTTAAGTTGATTAAACCTTCTTGTTTGCATTTCTAATTTTTTTAAAATACCACCTCTTATAGCATTTGTCTATCATAAAGAGAAGTGTACTTACTTAGTACTCCGTCTTTTTCTGAAAAGATATTATTAGTATGATTACGTGAAATTTATTAATCTATAAATAACTAACTGTACACAAATTAAGAAAATCGCTTATACATGGGCTACAATAGAATTCCAAAGTATTAAGCTACTAATTTTCAAGTATCCAGTTGGGTATGAAAGAAATTTTCAAGAGCTGATTTGTAAGGATTAGATTTGTTTTTTTCGCGTTTTACCACGGATTGATATCAGTTAGAGAACTATTGAAAACCAGCACTGGAGTACTGGAGAGTTGTTTCATCCCACTGGTTTGAGAATTATCAGCAGTACGCACCAGCCACCAGTGTTCGAAACTAAGACCTTCCAGTTGCAAGGCTAGCTAGCTCGTATACTATTCAGCCACTGGGATCTTTACAAACAAACTCCAGCAGATTAATCTGATACTCTCTAGTGACTTGCTGCAGGATGGAGTTTCCTGGAATTCTAGTGAAAAGTGGTGACCAGTGAGGTCCATCCAATCGGAAGTGAAGATGGATTTCCCATAGGTTATATGGGTTGATGGTCGCACTAAATGAATCACGAATTGGTAGATGATAGATTTGATGGGTTAGCCATTGAATCGAGCCTCAGTGGATGGATTGTATAAAGGAAATATTGATTTTTTTGAGATTGATTTACACATATTTGAATAGGCTTAATATTCAGGTGACTTGTTATCATAGTGAGTAAATTTACTTAATCAGAAGGTGGTAAGAATTAGTAGTTCTTTGGATTTCCACTCATTTGTAAAGGTATAGCTGAGTAGAGAGAGCATCTAGGTGACCAATAATTCAACCTATTATCGATTTATGTATGAATAATTTAGTGTTTGCTACTTGACCTAAATTTCTATTTTTAAGTGTGTCTGTGTGTTGTTGTTATTGATCGAAATTTGTGTAGAAAAATTATCCAACGCTGCCGGTTAACGAAATCAAATTGACGATTTGTAATTTATAAACAGTTCCAGTAGGTTAAACTTCCTTGTGATTTCCTTTGGGTGGGAACCAAAGTTGTTTAGATCACAATAGATGTGATCTGCTTGATACTACACAAATGGCAATTGAGAAAGCAAGCATAAATGTAGGATGTTGTCTATATACTACTGATTGATTGACGTGAGTAGTTGGGTTCCCTTGTCACACCAACCAGTAGTGTTTGCTAGTCAGCCAGATAGAAATGATCTAAACACCAGAGAGTGCGTCGATGGCATAACGATAGAATGCCTGCCAACTAATCAGGTGATTCGGGTTTCAATCCCCCGGCCGGCGACGCACTCGCTAAGCCACTAATAATAAGACCGGCAAAGAGGGAAGGTTGGGTATGAGGCTAGAAACTCCATCGCATAAAAATAAACACCACTGCTAACGAAATTTCCGGCCTCTATCTTGAAACCCTGGCTTCCACTGGGAAGTTGAAGGTATAAAAATAAATAATGATAAATACCAGAGAATCGTCTGCCTAGCTTGCTACTATATCGAACAGATCGCATCCATTATGAGCTGAATAGTTTCGGTTTCCGTAGGAAACTATGGTACAGTTTCACTCCGAACTGTATAAATTGCTATTCATGAATTAATTTGCCAATTATGAATTTGACTTAAAGTATAACCAATTCACCGATGTAGCTTTTGAGAATTTGGGTGGTTTGAACGGATACGGTAACCTGAAATGAGTCAGACAAAGTACACCGCTGATGAGTTCAGTCCCAAATGAGCAAAACGGCCCACCGATGTCTAGATCATCACTTCGATAATCTGGCTAGCAAGCACTACTGTTAATATGAGTGGTAGCGTCAATAAACTATGTGAGATGCTATGAATGTATGCTGTAGTTAATATTTTCCTCTTTCTTAAAGGAAAACGTCTTCCAGTATTATTTGCGATTCTGTCAACATTCACCAAAAGGAATATTTCTGAAATCTGATCAGTTAGACGCAAATGACATAATCATTTGCACAGGATATCTATTAAAGCAAGAAAGGCAAGAGGTATAATGTGCCGAAAAACTTCAGCAACCTTTGCATATCTTTAGTTCATTTCTTGAAATTCGAACTTTGTCAAAATAGCTTCATGCAACAAGAAGGAAACAATAAAAAGACGTAATTTGTCTGAATCGTCTTCTAATGTATTTGCCCAACACATTTCGAACAATCTGATCACGCACACACGGACTTGTCATAGAAATATATATGAAATTAATAAAGAGTTAAGAGGTGGGAAAATAAATTTAGGTCAAGTTAAAAGGACACACTGAAGGTCAAAATTACAATGAAGATCAATAACCAAGGATAACTGGACAGCAGTTTCATCCTAGTTTGGGAATCATCGGCAAAACGCACCCACTTGGGTTCGAACCCAGTTTCCTGGAGTTCTAGTCAGAAGTCGTGACCAGTAAGGTGCATCCAGTCAAATGTGAGGATAGATGTCCCACCGATGATTTTGGTTCATGGTCGCGCTAAATGCATCACGAATTGGTAGAAGTTAGAATTCATGGACTGGCCATTGAGTTGGGTCCCAGTAACTGAATGGTATACGAGCTAGCTAGCCTTGTAACTGGAAGGTCTTGGGTTCGAACCGTGGTCGGTGGGTGCGTACTGCCGATGATTCTCAAAGTAGGATGAAACAACTCTCCAGTACTCCAGTGCTGGTTTTCAATGGTCCTCTAACTGATATCAATCCGTGATCAACCACGTATAAAACACAAAATAATCGAGCGAAGAATATTCTTTTCGATAAATTCCTCTTCTGGGCTCTACACGTATAAACAAATCTAATCCTTGCAAACCCACTATTAAGAAGATCAATAAACCAAATAGGAGACGTAATAGTACATTTACCCTAGTTTCAAAACAAAAATTACCAAGGAAGTTTTTTTGTGATAACGAATTACTTTCGATGGACGCATAAATGGGTTTAAACTTTCTAATTGCTGTGACTTCCACAAACTTTAGAATCCAACGAATATATACTAAAGATACATTTGATGAGGAAGAAAGAAAGTTAACACAAACTCTAGTTGATAACAATTATCGAAAAAAGTTCACCAGGGGATATAAAGTAGTCAGAGCACCAAGACCCACTCTCCAACTGTCCCCTAAGAAAGAAGTTTACATCAAGCTACCCTATATGGAGCGTCATAGCAGCTTGGTAACTCGAAAACGGTTGAACGCCGTGGTTAAAAAGACTCTTTATGCAGCTAAGATCAGAATAGTTGAGAATATCAAGCTCATATATCCGTCTAAGCCCTCAAAGCATACCAAAAATGGTGTCGCATCCCATCGTATTTACCAATTTGAATGTACGTGTGAACACACATATATAGGGAGCACTCATCAATCTCTGCAAATAAGAGTTGGCTTCAGAGCATATTCCCAAACGTCTTCAGAAGCAAATAGAATCCCCAGAACCCATTATTGGTGAGAACAGACGATCTAGCTCCTCTATTGCGGAACATATTATAGAGGCAACAGGAAATAAAACTGATGTTAACACATCTTGTAAACCTATCTATAGAACGTGTTTGGACGAGGGCATATCCTAATGTTTGTGGTAGCGCTAGCAATTAGGAATTTTAAACCACCTTTATGCGTTCATCAAAAACAATTCGTCATCACACTAAACAACCTTCTTTGGTAAACTTTGTTTGATAATACCAGTATAGATGTACTATTACCTCTGTTATTTGGTTTAGTGATCTTCATTGTTATTTTCATCTTAAATGTGTCCTTTCAAACGGACCTAAATTTATATTCTCACCTCTTAACCCTTTATTAATTTCATGTATATTTCTATGACAAGTCCGTGTGTGTGTTCAGATCGTTCAAAATGTGTTGGGTACCTACATAAGAAGACAATTCAGACGAATTACGTCTTCTTACTACTTTGTCCTCTTTGATCACGTGTTTATATACGTGGTATATTTTGAGTTGTGTACTGGCAGCCTTTCTAAACCCCTAGGCTACCCAAAATTTTCATCCAGCTTATTACGTCGGCTTCTCATCGCTTCTTATTGTTTTGACCTTGTAATTCTGCCCATGGATCGCAATATAAGCTTATACAAATTTCAATTTGGCTCCCAGCCTACCAATGTGCACAGAGGACTGAGTTTTGTTGCAGATGGAATGACGTCACATTAGACGGGGATTTAAAATTGTGTTTAAAAATAATAATCACTAGAATAAAGAAGCTAATTTTATTACTTCATTACTTCTGGAACGAATCAATCAGCCTTAGTTCGTTATCAGAGCTTTTCTCTGCCTACTGGTGATATACCTATTGCATTATTATTATTAAGATATCGATTGAAAGGCCTTCAGGCATTGAACAGAATGAGACCAATCATTTCAGTCCGAAAATACCAATAGGAAATAGTTAGTTTGAATAACTGAATAAATAAATAAATAATATCAAATAGTGTCAAATTAAACATAGAAAGTAACTGTCATTGTTTCATAGCTTAGTGCTTAACGTTTGAAATGGAAAGGTAGGCAGTGGGAATGACGTTGTTCACTGGGGAATTGGATATATATATCCATAGGAAGTGTCAGAAAGAAGGTGAAATTTACTTTCTAGAATTCATTGTAAACTAACACAAAGCAAATAATTGTCTCAAATTCCTTCAAATACACAGTCTGAACTTCGATATTTCGCTCATTAGGGGCTACAAGAAGGATGAATGATCTGAAATGGTGGCTAATACGATCCACCAAGTCACATTTAACTGAGATGCTCACTGACAGTAGTTGTTGGCGGTGGAAATTTATCGCGAATTTAAGAATCAATGCATCCTGACAGAGTAGTTCAATCATAAGATGACTTGACGTATAACCTACAGGTGCTAGGTTCGATCCCTCTTAGTGTCATGGGAATGCACTACTGAGGAGCCAAAAACTAGGACGAAAGAGTTGACGGCTGTTGTTGGGCGAGATCTATACTGAAATTAGTGGAAATCCTCACAAGTTTGAAGTTAGAATTATTATTATTCCTTTACATTCCCAGTGGAACATAGGGCGCCTGTAAGCTAGAGGCTTGAAGTTCCGTTAGCAGTGATGTTTATGTTGATGGGATGAGATCATGTCAAACCTTCCCTTCTTACCAGTCTTACTACTGGCTTAGTGAGGTAAAGGAGTGCTTCGGCTGGGGATCGAACCCTGAATCACATGAGGCATGGTTTGCGAGCATTCTACCGCTGTACCACCAACGCACAAAAGCCGGCAACACCAGGTATTCCCAGCCGGTCACCCATGCAAGTACTAACCAGGCCCAACGTTGCTCAACTTAGGTGGTCGCCGACGAAACCAGAATTGCTCACAATAATTCTTAGAAGAATTCAATGAAAGCAAGATTAACGTAAAATGAAAAAGAAATCGATATTTTTTTTACTAATAATGAAATACTTACACGCATGAAACAATCTGAAAGATGGTTAACACAAGGAGCAGATGCGCTTTGCCGATACGATAAATGCTCATTACAGTGATAGTAATGAAACCTCCTGTACTTTTACGCGCAAAAGCAATTAAATATGTCTATATATATAGATATACGTGTGTGTATGTGTGCGTGTGTATTCGCCCGTGCATATATGCGCTTTAATTAATCGCACACTTCCGGAATTACAAAATCAATTATACCAATAGAAATTTCACTATAAATCTACACATATATATTTGTGTGTGTGTGTGTGTGTTTAGACACAGGTGCTTAGTTAATCGTATGCATCAGCCATAAAGGGCACTAGATTATGACAGTGTTAATAATAATATATTATATTACTACTACTACTACTAATAATAATAATAATAACAATAATAATAATAGAAATAATAATCAACCAATTATTTTAAACAACAATGAAAAATTCATCCAAGAAACTAAAAATGTGCAAATTCATGCTGTTTGAGTTGTTGGTTGGACAATGAGCTGGACAATTATGAACACTTTAGTGACCTGAAGGGTATTCAGATATCTTCGAGGGTTGGTTTGCACGGGTTTGATTGGTTAAAGGTTTAATCACGAGATAATGTCAGTAGAGGAATCATTGGAAAGCAAAAGAGTACTGAACAGCTGTTTCGTCCTGGTTTGGGATTCTTCAGAAGTACGCACCACCTTTATGTAGAAAAAAAGTTTAACTTGAAAGAGTATATCCATAAAATAAGTTACGTAAAAGGAGAAAGTTAACACAGGCTGAAATAAACGTAATTTTGACCTTGATCTCGTTGAAATTGAAGTGTTTATCCATGAGTTTGTAGATAAATATGCTTCACTTTAGCATGCGCATGTTTACTGTTTTGCCACCGCAACTTGTCTTGACCATATCTGCAGTGTTTGACCCAATTATGCCGTTGAAGGAAGCATACTTACATACATTTATTAATACCACAGCATTAAGTAATGATTCCATCTCTGTGTTCATTCTTCATATTCATCCATCGCTGTACTCTTCATGTGATCTCTTCTATGCAACGCTTATACCCACGCCCAAATAGTTGCTTTCCATTCAAGTTCTATTCGAAAGCCTTTATATGCCTAGCATACAGAAATAAATTATTTACAATATGCCTGAGATGCGCAATCAAACATCTGAGTTTTAGGCTTCTGTAAATTTTCTATTGGTTTTATGTCTTCTATGTCTACAATTTGTACATTTTTTCAATTTAAGTGTTTTCCGTAGTTGTTTGCATACACAGGTACAGATCGAATTCATTGAATAATGAAAAAGGTAGCCATAAAAACAAAAAGGTCAAATACTAGGTCAACAAAGTAATGAGTACCAATCAATACAAGTGGGGGAAGGAGAGTAAAACAATCTCCAATCTTCATAATCTAAGGCATTAACACAGATTGTTATTACGCTTATGGAGAATTCTAAAAGTACATTTCACACTGAAATTGGCGCTGAAGATGTTGTCTAGAAAGATGATAAGTGTTTCGCAGTTAATTCATTCAGCTTTGAGAACACAACTACACATGAGCTGTAAATCCTCTCCATCGCTTTTGATAGTCTTGAAATTAGTTCATTGAAAATGATGGTTCCTAAAAGTAGTTTGAAGGTTTTCATAGAGAAGTATAGTCTTGAAGTGAATCAGTCGGTCAAAAATTATATTACCCAATGTCTTTTGAAACAGTGTGTTCACTTCAAGTCTCGTTGGGAACACCATCATTCAGTAAAAGTGTCGATGGTTCAGCGGTAGAATTCTAGTCAACAGTGCACGTGGTCCTGGGGTTCGAACCCCCGCAGATGTATTCTCAAACCCCACTTAGCCGTTAGTAAGAGTAGTAAAGAGGGGGGTTGGGTGTGAGGTTAGCTATCGTAGGCCGTATAAAAATAGTAACACCACTGTCATTGAAACTTCAAAGCTCCAATTAAACCCCAAAGGGGTAAAATGAAAAATAAATAATCATCCAGATAAGGAGTTCTAAATAGGATGGTTATTTTAACCATGAATATGTTATCTAGAAGACAACGGAAGCTTCATGATTAAACTAGACAGCTCGGGGAATAGAATTACACTAATACCATCCACGTGAGCTAAAAAACACCATCTAAAAATCTTGTAATTTTTATGAGTTCCACTTCTGCATAGATTTTTTTTCTCCGGGAAATATTAAGAAGCTAAAACTATCTGGAATTACTCAACCTCTGCTTATACAATTTGTTAACTCGTGTATCTTACTTAGTGTACTTTACTGCTCCCCCTTGATCTTCCGTGGTCTACCGATAAAGGACTATGTCATTTTGAGGAGGGTATTAAAGGTAGTTAGCAGGTCAAGTGGTATGCAGCATAGTCAGCTTGTCACTACACTAGGTGATAGACATCTAAACTTATACGAGAAATGGTCTAAATCCACATTTTCTGGTCCTCAACATCCAGCCCCTCTATTCTCAACTCTCCCATTGCTGTACCTCAGCTGGTAGAACTAGAAGTCAGTAAAAAATATTATATGCTCGTACTAACAAGTGGAGGAACCCAATGATACTATATTTAGCTAGCCCGTGTTCCATGTGATAGAGACAATGTGAAGCGCGAACCTTATGAATTACTATGTTGTTAGCTAAGAAATTGGCCCTTTTATTATCTCCTATTTGTAATCTATGGTGACACTACCTCAACTAACTGACAATCTTAGCTACTAAGATTATTATTTACAATTATTTATATATGACTTCAATGTCCTGTAATACTACCTTAATAACTGTTTCTAATATTATTCGATAAATTTAAATGCAATAATTTACCAAATGCTGAAAATTCCACACTGTAGCATTAGTACTGTTTGGAATAAAGCAATTTACTGTTATGATAGGAACGCTAAGGCAGCTTTACATTTATAACAGGAGAGAGTACACACTGACCAGCCAACCAACCAACCAACGCGACACACTGACGCGCACGAGGAACAATATGAAGCTTAGAAACCAGGTAAAAGAAGTACAGATTTAGGAGCGAAAGTCTTCGAGATGCAGCTTCAGTGTTAAATCATTTATGATCAATCTGTTCACATCGTTCGACAATTGGTCCACTGCATTCACGTTGTCTTTTTTTGATGTGGTTTTTGTTCTTTGAGCTGGATAGTTAATTTGCGAAGCTTTCATTGCCCTACTAGGCAACATCTTCAGTGCATACTTCAAACTGACTTCAAATTAACTATCCAGCTCAGGGAAAACACAACCACATCAAAATCATCCATCTGAGCTAAAAGTCTTCTCCATCATTCACGTTGCTTGTACCTACAACATTAAAGAAAGATATACAATTGTATTGCAGTTATGAGGTATACATATTAGTTTCGCAAATGTTACCTAGGCTTCATTGAAATCAGGTTTTTAAGTACAAATTTAATCATAGGGAATAAAAAGACAGTTGCAGCGAAGAAAATTTTCTTTTCGACGAAGTCATCATCTAGGCTGCACATTCGTGTATTTATATCAAATGGATGGGAAAGTTCCAGAATAATTTCTGGTTAGGGGTCAAATTAATAAAAATTACAATTAGGAATTAGAATGCCATGATAAACAGCATTCTAGAAAAATCTAAGACGAAACCATATATCTCCCAATTCACGCACGCTCAGAAGACACACCCAGAATCACATTGATGCCGTCCGATCCAGATTAGCTGAACTGGAACAAAACGTCTCAATGAGCTCCCACGTTCTTTATGATTTAACTGTTGATGAACGTGCGCCAATCGAACACTACGTCAATACAGTCTCAGAGAAGAGAAAGGAAAATATCATCATGAAACTTAAACAAAGCCTAAAATCAGTCACCAAGGAAACAGCTTTCCCATCTTGTCCTGAGAAATTTGTATTCAATTTTTCTGATGCCTCACTTTCACCGATTCAAATGCAACTATTGTCGCTCGGACCAAAATTTTGTGATGCATCATCAAAAGTAAACGAATTGAACACCAAAGTACAATTCGAGAATTTGATTAGTCAGACGAATGATCTGGTCCCAATTTCATATGACAGTGCAGAACACTTCAAATCAACTGTTTTGAATTGCTGCCTCGACTACATCAACAAAAAACCTAGACTTCGTTATATGCTTTCAAAAGAACATCGAAAGCAACTCAAAGAATTGAAATCAAATGAAAACCTGATAATAACTCGACCAGACAAAGGTTCTGGAATTGTTCTGCTCAACAAGTCAGACTATGTGAAGAAACTCTCGTTAATTCTATCTGATGACAGCAAATTTCAAAAACAGACGATCCAAAAAGATCCGATTGAACAGACGGAGCTCCAGCTAACCAACTTGAAAAAATGAAGGATGAATCGATTATCAATATAAAATTATATGAAAAACTTCGCCCATCTGGTCCTACATCGCCACGAATGTATGGACTACCCAAAGTGCACAAAAAGGACGTCCCACTCCGCCCAATATTAGATATGATCAATTCTTCATATCACCTAATCGCGAAGTGGCTGGTAGAAATTCTTGGACCAGTGAAAGAAAAGTTGTCGAGATACAACCTCCGCGACACATTCGACTTCGTGGATTCAATCAAAAATGTCAACCTCGCAAATAAAAGGATGGTCTCCCTAGACGTCGTCTCTCTGTTCACCAATGTTCCGCTGACAGAAACTATATGCTTTCTGTGTGACTTCATCCAATGCAACATCATAGATGTCGGCATACCGATGCATTATCTAAAGGAGCTGTTACTACGTTGCACCTTCAACGTCTACTTCAGATTCAACAATGAAATCTACAGGCAAACAAATGGCGTAGCAATGGGCTCTCCACTCGGACCACTCCTAGCCGACTGTTTTATGGCCAGCCTCAAAAACAACCCCTTATCATCAACTATCGACGACCTTCATCTCTACAAGAGATACATTGATGATACTTTCATCATTTGTGATGAGAAGCTGGACCTTGAAAACTTACTTCAAATCTTCAAGAACGTCTACCCAAACATCGACTTTACACTTGAGACCGAATCCGACGGAATGTTCCACTTCCTGGACGTCATTCTGGCAAGAAATGACAACGACTCTTTGAAAAGGTCCATATACAAAAAGCCTACATGGAATGAA